CACTTGAATAAAGTTAAAGGTGTAATCTGCCGATTGTCCTGCAGGTGACCGCATAAATCTGTCTTCTTACGATGCGCTTAAGGCTTTACGATTACTCCAGAGCACTCGTAGAGCTACGATGATTTTCAAGTGCTACTTAAGTTACGATGCTTTTGGGAAACAGACCGTAATATTGAGATCATTCATACGATCGTTTTTACGAACTTCTTAAGCCGCCTTTCCACTGCACACGACAAACGACAGCCGTTGGACCGGAAGTCATTCATTTCCAATGGAGAGTCGTACAGGGGCTGCGTGGGGTGGATCCGAATTGAGCTTCGGATGCGTTCAGATATTTGAACTTGGGCGACTACACCGTATGCTACACGCCGACCGGATGTGATGTATTCCGAAGTTGTCCAATCAAATCAGTGTGCGCAAGTTGAGAATTATAATTCTTTTTGTTTACCACATTTTATTTTGTTTTAAAACTTTAAAAAAATGCATGATTATTGGTGAATAATAAATTATTCGTTTAATTTGATATTTTATTATTTTTAATGTTGTCGTTATTTTCCCTCCAAAATTATTGGCGGTCATTTGTCCTATATGCATAGCTGTTTATTGTTGGCATTCAATTCATTTCACCATGGTGAATGTACAGAGGATAAAGGCTCTTGCACTCCTTTACTGGAGACGCAAAAAGAAATACCACAAATCAGTATGGGTACAAGACTACCTGGCTGGAAGGAAACATCTTGGCGAGTATCACCGTTTAGTGCAAGAGCTGCGCCTTAACAGGGACGATTTCCGTGAGTATTTTCGGGTCTCACGAGAGGAATTTAATGAGATCCTTCAGGTTGTTGGCCCAAAAATTACCAGGCAGGATACTGCATTCCGGAAATCCATCAGCCCGGCCCCTCCAAAATTATTGGCGGTCATTTGTCCTATATGCATAGCTGTTTATTGTTGGCATTCAATTCATTTCACCATGGTGAATGTACGGAGGATAAAGGCTCTTGCTCTCGCACTCCTTTACTGGAGACGCAAAAAGAAATACTGCAAATCAGTGTGGGTACAACACTACCTGGCTCGGAGGAAACATCTTGGCGAGTATCACCGTTTAGTGCAAGAGCTGCGCCTTAACAGGGAAGATTTCCGTGAGAGAGGGCTAAATGTCCTCACCAATATAGTGAAATATCATAATACCTGCAATTTATAAAATCTAAATGTTTACCTTCAACTTTTCTTATGTCTTATATTTTCAGATACCTAGCCACTGGAGACTCCTACCACTCACTCTCCTATCGCTTCAGAGTGGGCTGGTCTACAGTGTCCACCATTGTCCCTGAGGTGGCAAAGGCTATCTGGGAGGGTCTGGTCCATCAGTACATGCCAGTGCCACAAGAAGAAGATTGGCAGACGATCGCCCAGGACTTTAATGAGCGCTGGAATTTCCCCAATTGTTTGGGGTCCATTGATGGTAAGCATGTGGTCATCCAAGCTCCACCCAACTCAGGCTCCCTTTTCTACAATTATAAAGGAACCTATTCAATTGTATTACTTGCAGTAGTTGATGCCAACTACTGCTTTAGGGCAATCAATGTGGGTGCTTATGGCCACGGAAGTGATGGTGGAACCCTGAGGGACTCTGCTTTTGGCAGGGCCCTTGAAGTCAGCACCCTTACAATCCCACCAGATACCCATCTACCAGGTGCTGAACATCTAGGCCCACTTCCTTATGCTTTTGTAGCAGACGAAGCTTTTCCAGTCCGTCACCATCTTCTGCGGCCCTATCCGGGGAAGAACCTGCAAAGATGCCAACGCATTTTTAATTACCGTCTGTCCCGGGCCAGGCTGGTTGTTGAAAATGCATTTGGCATTCTTGCATCTAGGTTCAGAATGTACCACAGGGACATGGGTCAGCACCCTCAAAATGTCGAAGCCTGTGTGAAAGTGACATGTGTCCTCCACAATCTCCTGCGGAGGAGCAAAACAAAAAACAACAACGCACCCCTCTGCACCAATGATGGATGGACCAAACAGCAGCATGCAAGGCATCACCCGTCAAGGCGCTAACAATTCCTCAAGGGAGGCTGTCTGTGTGAGGGAAACCTACACATCTTACTTTTCCTCTGTACACGGTGAGGTCCCATGGCAGCACCTGGTGTCGTAGTCCTTGTTACAGACCAAAGGCCCTTTTAAGGGCCACAACAGTTTCACAAAAGGGTTTTTCCAGTTCGGTGTGTATCGTGTCTCTTCTTTCTGTGCATGCTAAATCTTCCTATTTAAATGATACTAAATAGAGAATTCAATAGTACTTTCGAAAATAATAAGTTATACAACAATCATATCTATATCAGATTTATCTTGGTACTGGTTGCCTAAACAACAATGCATGGTAGCAATTAACACAAGTTCAAGTAAATGAGTAATCAAAAAAAAAGTTTATTAGAGAGGAAATATTAAATGTATGCTGTGTATGTTTTTAATGTGTGGATAGTGTGCTCTATGCATGTCAGTGAACATGTCAGAACATAACAACATTAACTATGTCTAGTGTAACAAGTAAAATAACAAGTATGTGTTGGTGGTTTACATAGAATGTGTGTGTGTGTGTAAAGAGGTCCAGTCAGGAGGTCCACTTGAACATTTCTGCAAGAAAAGGAGAGACAAGTAAAGTGATCTCAGTTTACTTAAATGCAACATCACCATTATTCACAATAAATAAATGAGATCTCTAAAACTCACAGTTAAACTCTGCCTCAAAAAATAGCTGGTGGATTTTCAGCTTGGTGAGTTCCCTGCATTTAGGCTCAAGTCTCTTCAGGGCTGGCATCAAACTCTGCAGAAACTGCATGTCAGGATCTTCTGATCCAGCAGGGCCAGGACAGTTGGAGGTTTCTATTGCCTCAACGATTTTCCGCTCAAAAGAAGACACGGATGCTGCTTCAATTCTTCTCCGGCGTTGTCGTGGCTGGGC